CCCCCCCGCCAAATTATTTTTTGTTTGGAAGATAAAAATTAATGGCAGGTGTAGAGATCTTGATATCACGCTCTGCTTTACGTTGTCAGAAGCTGAGCAGTCTCCAGCTATTCTACGTTTCATACAGCGCAAGAATAACTTTCTTCGTTGTTCTGACCCACTCTGCTACGTCTGCTTCCACAACCCAAAATCCCTATTTCTAAGCCCTTCACAGCTGCGATACAAAGTTTAGGGAATAATTTCAAATTGACCGGATAACCCCCTGCAAATGACAAAACCAAAAGGATGGAAATAAACCCAAGGGATAATCCGGAAGCCTATGCGACCTCAAATATCTGCACCCGCCGCTGCAGCTCATCTCCCCGCGGTGCTGGATGGTGCTGCTCCAGAACCGGGTTATCCATCCCAGTGGTAAATCCATTTTTGCATTCGTGTGGTTAGTTAATAGCTGGGAACTCGGGTATATTTTCAGTTCCCATTCAAATGACAGAGCTGCTTGGGACCTCCCTCTTTTAAAGAGTAGCGAGCTGATCCAGTGGGTCAGTCCCATCGTGTAACTACATCCTAAATACAGTTTAGGATCTAAATCCTAAATAACAATAGGTCTAGTTTGGATAAAGAAGAGCAAGGGGAAGAGTGTATCTAATCGAAGCAGCGGGCCAGGTCCTCTGCAAGTATTCAGTCTGGGGACTTTGTTACACAGAGTTGGTGTCTTAGTGCATTTTTTAGAGGCAATTTATTCTGTATGGACAGTCAAGAGAGGAAAAGCTCGTTTCATCTAAACCAAGAAAAAAAAATCCGCAAGCTGCCTGGCCAGATTAACTATAGGCCTGTCGGGTTTTTTTAAACTGTTTTCTTTTTGGTTTGTTGGTGAATGGAGGTACATTTAGTGCTGGAGTTATGTGAAATTCCGATGTTTTCAATGGAATGGCTTTTAGTATTTATAATCAAGTTGTCTCTTTCTTGCAGACCCATGTGTCTTTGCGTAGCATGGTCCGCTCCTCTCTCTGTCTAAGTCCGGTTATGAAATTACTTCATAAATCTGGCTGCTAGTGAGACTTGAATTAAATTAATGGGAACATGTGTGCCAGTAAGGACAGAAAAATCTGGACCATAAATTGTCTATTTTCACAATGAGTTTATCTTTCCATTAACCATTTTTTAATTACTAGAGAACAAAATTCCTCTGCATTAAAATAGATTTGCCTGAGAGTACTTCTGACAGCAGGTAAAGGACTGTGGTCTGGTCCCGTAGGGACCGGGAGGGTGTTTTAACAAATGCTGGGTATGTAAATTAAGATATTTTTACAAAAAAACTTTGAATAACGTATTTTAAACATTCTTCTGCTTTCCTGGAAGAGTTCCTCTAAGTTTGGTTCCTTTTTTAGCTGGTACCAGCAGAGGGACTTGATAAACTGCGAAAGAAGCTTTTTATGTTCCGGGAAAGAGGAGGGAGGAAATAAGAGTTTTGTAACAGTGTAGATGTCCCTGAGTTTTACGTGTAGCTGTTGAACATTGATCAAAGGGAGTGAGGGTCAACCTTCCTTCTGTTGAGATCCACATGAGCTTGCAAAAGAGGTTGAGAAATAAGTTACCTACATGCTCTGAGTGTAGCGCAGTCCGTGTCAAGGATGGAGAGCCCAAGATCAAGTCTGGGCTCTAAGTCCAGCTCTAAATCCACCTTGATGCTAGAAGTGGTTCAGCCTTTGCTGTCAGCCTCTCCCCATGGCCCCTCAGTAGGAGTCTTCATCTGTCTCTGTAGAAAAACACGATCTTCGTTGAGGAGCATTTTTAATATTTTTTTAAACAGACTTTTAAAATAATTTGCTCTTACTGAATTATGTTCATTTATAAGGAAAAGGATATTAATTATTTACCTCGGGTAGTTTCATTCTAGAAATCTAATTTCTGGCGAGGTGGTAGGATGGATCCAGGTCTCACTGAAATCAGCGGTTTGGCACATAGTCACTAGAACAACTTAATGCATTTTTTATTAATAATAAAAACATATTGATTGGGATCTTGAGGTAGAACGACTTGCAGAAATTTGATCAAAGTAATGTTTCGGGGAGGGGGGCAGGGACAGATGCTAAACCACAGCATGTTAAATTGATCCTGCTAGTACCGGCGTTGGCTAGTTGAAAAAATATTTTGAGTTCAAAGGTGTTTAGGTGGTGGGAAAAAGGACCATTTTATTGGAGAGGGTATCTCTGCAGCCTTTCAAAATCACCTTAATGGCCTACAAAGGTCCTTCTCAGGACTAATTGGCTAAATTTGGATAAATCTCGCCTCTTAAAACCAAAATTTTTGGCCTATAAAACCAAAAAAGATGTCCGTAATGGCAGTTTGCTGCATCCCAAGGGTCTAAATGGAGCTCTGGTTCGTGGTATGCCTTGAAAAAAAACCAACCAAAACCCAACCTAGGGCTATTGCCAATGGAAGGAAACGTAACATATTCTATTTAGACTTATTATTTGCCATTGTACAACCAATGGGAAATCTGAAAATTGTACTGCTTGGTGTTCAGCATTAACATTTTGCAGCTTTTCTCCCCGTATTTGAGCAAATCCTTTCCCTGCATGAGGGGCTGCAGCTGGTTCTGTAGAGACCGTGCTTAGAAACTGCAAATTACTGATTTTTTATTTTTTTTTTTTAAATTCTATACCTTGGAGAGGGAGGGGAAGCTGTGGTGTGTGACTTGCCAGCCCAGAGGCTGGCGTAGGCAGCCTTGCGAGCACGTGGATTTGCTGCGCTGTGGTGCAGGAGTCCTGCGTGGGACATGCTCCCTGTTGAACTGGAGCTCTCATCTCCCATCCGTAACGCTTCCAAAACTCTAAAAGTAGATAATTTTCAGCATACTCATCAAATCCTGGTGCAGAGAGGCTTTGATTACGTCCACCCAGGAAAAAAAAAACGACAAATATAGCAGCATTTTACATTGCTTTTCATCACTGAGATCTTCCTAAGGATGTTCAAGAGGCTATAAATGACTTGATAGTGTGAGCAGAAAACTTTGGTATGGCAATATAACATATTTTTTTTATATTTCCGTCATTCTTAGTTCTTATCAGAGTAGCTGTGATAGCACACCAACACCTTGCCAAACACCCTGCTTACTTAGCAAAAATATAGTGGGTTTTGCAGGGGATATGGTATTTCATGCACCGTTTCCCTTCTGGTTTGTATTCTAACAGTGGCCCGACACCACAAAGGTAGAAAGATGTAACCTTCTATTTAAAAAAAAAAATAAATCTTTTGCTTTTCAGCTGAATTCCTTTGCAGAGTTTGCTTTTGCTTGACGAGGTGGTGAGGAATGGGAAAAGCAGTTTGCAGCCCAGTGCGTTTGTTGGGGTTGGATCTGTGGGGCTTTGCACTTCTGGGGGCTGCGTTTGGGGGGGGTTGTGCACTTGTTGGGGTCACATTTGGGGGGCTTCCAACTTGTGGGAGTTGCTTTTGGGGGGTTTTACATTGAGTGGGGGTGCCTTTGGGGGGGTCTTACACTGATGGGGAGTGCATTTGTGGGGCTGTGATTTAGTTGGGGTTGCATTTGGGGGGCTTCCAACTTGGGGGGGTTGCTTTTGGGGGGTTTTACAT